GCTCCCGTCTCACTCTCCCTCCATCTACCACTCCCCATCCCTCCCTCCTACCTTTACCTGTGGTTGGAGGCTATTCCATTTGGAATATTTATGGTCTCCAAGGATGGGACAACTGAGCGCCAGAGCGAGATGGACCCTCAGCTGGTGCTTCACGCCTGGGAGAGAGAGAGAGAGGGTATCAGTCACAGAGAAGGTGCCCAGGTCCCCATCTCCACTGGCGACCACCATCTCTCAGGCCCTGAAATCGTTGAGAGAGGCAGCAGTAAGGTAGGGTTCGGTCCTGACCACAGACATACCAACTCCAACAAGCACAGATCGCGTCGCTGAGGCGACTGGTACACCAGTGAGGAACTTGGGGGGTGTCTTGTGGACAGGTCCTTCAACGCGTGGATGTACAGCGGAGGTAACAGTGTGGAAGGAAGGAGGGGGGCTATTGCTGCCCCCAGACGGTGGTCAGTAATGGACCCTGTGTCCAGCCTGGATGTCACTGGATGGTGAGGCTGTATTCGACCAGGGCAGAAGGCAGGACGGTGGCCAGGAAGGTACCCTCCCCACAGTCACTGGATGCACAGTAACCTGGCAACGGACAAGTACCAATCAGTGACCATCTCCAACAAGACAGAGTCTAACCATCGCCCCCTTTACACTGAATCCCGGCCCCCTTCCCCACTATCAACATCCTGGGGTTTCCCATTGAGCAGAAACTGACCACGGACCCCCAGCCCCATATCAATCCTGTGGCCACAGAGAGCGGGTCAGAGGCTGGGAATCCTGCAGCGAGTAACTTCCCTCCTGCCTGTGCCCCCCCCTCCAACTCCCACCAAAGCCTGTCCCACCGTCCACAGGGGAGGAGGGAATACTTCCCACTTGCCCTAGATAGGGGGCTGCTGCAACACTTGAGAAGCTCAACACCGACCAGGGACAAAGCAGTGCCCACGTTTCCACCCCCACAGCTTAATCGAGATGCTGATCACACACACCCCCCCCCCACCCCGCTTCATCTTCAACACTTTGTCCCTCCACCACTGACGCACAGTGGCAGGAGTGTGTACCATCTACAAGACACACTTGCTGAGGTTCCTCCTTCCGAACCACTTCTTACTCCTGTAGAGGGGCAGATGTGGTGGAGGGGGGGAACACCAGCCCCCTGCCAGTTCCCCTCCAAGACCACCAACCCCACCTCCCCCCACCCCCAATATCCCAACTCAGAATGATGCCGTTACTTCAGGGTCAAAACCTGGAACTCCCTCCCTAATGGCACTGTGTCCCCACACCACATGGAGCATTGGTCAGAGGGGGAACGCTGCAGAGGTTCAAGAAGGCAGCTCACCCCCACCTTCTCCAGGGGCAAGTTAAGGGAAAGGTGATAAATACTAGGCCCAGCCAGACGATGCCACTGCCTGCGATTTTGAGCACAGGACATTTCAGACCGCTGCAAGGATCGGAGCAAGTTTGCGAACGGGACAACGACTGGTATAAAAGGGGCACCCGGGAGCCTTTGCCACACTGGCCGCTCACCTGTCAGTGGCTGCACCTCCAGCAAGGCAGCGGATCCACAACTTTCCATAACACGGTACTGCGTGACAGCGCTGTGCGCAGCTCGGCTCTGACGCACCCGCAACATGGTCCCTTCCACATCACCGACTCGGAATAACGGAGCGAGGGCCATCTGCAGGACAGAGAGGGAGCTTTACTCTGTATCTAACCCCGTGCTGTCCCTAGGAGTGTTTGATGGGGGGGACAGTGTAGAGGGAGCTTTACTCTGTATCTAACCCTGTGCTGTCCCTGGGAGTGTTTGTTGCGGGGACAGTGTAGAAGGAGCTTTACTCTGTTTCTAACTCCGTGCTGGCCCTGTCCTGGGAGTGTGTAATGTTGGTATTAAACCAGAAACTAACCTTAAAATGCTTCCTGGGACTGCTGACCTCTCTCTCAATGATGGGAATGTCAATAACTCCTTCAGGTGGTACTGGAACTCCAACAGTTATAACCCTAAAGAGAGAGTGAGAGAAAAGGTTGACATATTTGTACCACACACACACAGAGTGAGAGACAGCAGGGGAATGCAGTTACATACACACACAGATGCAGTGAGAGACAGTGGTGGAACACAGTGACACACACACACAGAGTGAGAGACACAGGAACACAGTTATACATACACAGAGAGAGATGGGGAGCACAGTTACACACACACCTGGAGAGAGAGACAGTTGGGGAACACAGTTATTTGCATACACACACACAGAGTGAGAGACAGCATAACACAGTTACATCCACACACAAAGTGAGACACAGTGGGGGAGCATAATTACACAGACACAGATGAAGTAAGACACCGGGAAACACAGTTGCACGCGCGCACACACACAAACCAAGTGAGAGACAGCAGAGGAAACACAATTACACACACACAGTGAGAGACAGAGAGGGAACACAGTTACACACAGATGGAGTAAGAGACAGGCACACAATTACACACACACACAGTCTGAGTGAGAGACAGGGGAGGAAACATTGTTACTGACGGAGTGAGAGACAGCCGGGGAACACAATTATACACACAGACAGAGTGAGAGACAGGGAGTGAACACAGTTACACACAGATGGAGTCAGACACAAATGGGAGAACACAGTTGCAGGCACACAGACGGAGTGAGGGGTGAACATAGTTACACACAGACGGATTGAGACACAGGAACACAGTTACAGACACACAAA